AGGGCGAAAATATGACATTCGTTTTGTAGGCTAAGTCAAAGGTCAGGTCACCAGAGGTCATTAAATGAAAGATATTGCCTTTCAATATTTTTTCAAAACCCGCGCACAACTCGGGAACCAATTATATAGAGCTGTACAGCGCCGCGGAAAAGAATAGATAGCCCTTTTGAAGTTTTGACCCTTTCGGTGACCCTTCGACGGTGCCACTGGTCGACTTCCACTCACCTTTGAACAAAACGTGCTCAAGTTGGTACACTTCAGTCCTGCAGACGCCACGGACCCTGCGTGCGAATATATTATAATTCCGCTCCTTTTTGATAGCGCAGGGCGCTCAGCCGTCAGGCTCAATTGTCCGACGATCCGTCCGTGTTCCTCGACCTTGGAAGTGCCGAGACACCATATCCCCGTGGGCATGTCATGGCGTGCCCTCCCCTCGGCCTCATCAAAACATTACCGGCACTGACACGGTCCCACTCAAGATGTCCCGCCGCGGACCTACCCCCAGGCGCCACCGGGGTGGGTTTTGACGTCACAAAAGGAGCCCCGGCGGATTGGAGGGGACGCTAACTGGCCGCCGGCCGGGGGCGGCGCTGAAGGGTGCGGGCAGGGGCCGGCCGAGTCCTGGAATGTACTAGATTTGCCAGACACGTGTTGCCAGCGGACAACCACGGCGACCACTTGGTATGCCATTGGTCGTCTTTATGAGGGTCACCGATCGGCCGTCCGAACGATGGTCGAACGACGCAGTATATACTAAATAGCTACGGGGAGCTGGAATATGTCTATAGCTACCAGGAAATTTTCCACTGGGATGCCGCCGCGTACGGGAGGTAACGGACTCGAGAACTGCGAGTCGATGTGATGGGGAGGGACAGAGAATGGTTTGCGTGGGCAGAGGTGATTGGGTTGCGTGGGCAGAGGCGGATGGATTGTGCGCTTCTAACCGCACTAAGCGGAAGGAGTTAATCAGTTCAGGCGCTGCGCGTGGTCGCCATAAGATCGTCTCCTCGGTTGTCGTCGACAACGACAAAACGATACAATTTTTCACCCCTGACGGAGGGGGTGGGTCGGGGCATCTATGTATGACAGAACTGGTCAACATAGAACAAATGACCTTAAAAATGAAGAGCTTTTAATGAAAATATGATATAACTTTCATTTGTTATTTGCCTAATTTGATGTGTTTATCTTAAAATTTAGGCTAAAAGCTATGCTACAAGTTACAAAAAAGGAGAAAATATATTACTGGAAATGGAAAAACGTAAACCTCGTGTATCTACTTATGTAAAAAGACCATTCAAAAGCTAAAAAGTGTGATGACTTCAAGCAACCGTTAAGCTCTACGTCTATGGACCGTGATGTAGCAGAATTCTTACCCGAGCGACAGGAAAGACTGACCTTGAGAGTCATAAGCGTAGGAACCATGGGTGCAAGGGTGCAGCTGCACCCACAATATTTATCCAGTGGGTGCAGACAATGTATTACCCACAATAATCTGAAACAAAAACCCCTTTTCTCATCAACACTACTTCCCATGCAGCATGGGCGCCATATAGCCTCGTTGCTGGTGCGCCCTAAAACACCAAATCATCATCATCATCATCCCATGCAGCACAGCAATTTCAGGATATGTTGCCCAATGCCCACTATCCATCTTTCGAAGAATTTGCTTTTGTGATGGTCTTCAAAACTTTACAATTGTGCTGAAGAAAAAAAAAGGAAATGGAGCATGTGATTGAGCACACACCGAGCCGGTGATCCACTGTCAATTTTTTAGCCTGATATCTTCGAAAATGGCTAAGTTGGGCGCTTTTACGCTTTTACTTTTCCAGCTTCTAATGTGTAAGGGGAGAGGGAGGGGGGGGGGCTGATCGAGCTAGAGCTTCGCGGAAAAAGACGAGGGTGTTGCCCGTGACGAGAGGAAGCCAATGATACACAATTATAAGGTCCTAGGTCATTGGTTGACCTTCCAGGTCAGTTCAATGTTCCAAAATTCGGGAAAATCGGGACCTGCTAGAACTGCGTAAAGTGAAGCTGTTATCGGGGTTTTCGGGATGCTGATCACGAATATCATGTTAGTTTTGATCACAGATGATTTCTTCATGCATTTAGGCCAGCTCGGGTCAGGTCAGGTCAGGCCAACCATTAGGCGTCCTACCGGCTATCCATAGTAGGTGTCAACTACCACTGACGGCGTCGTAGCATGTTACGAAGGCATTAAAAGTACTTCGTAAACGTTCAAATAGATGCTATATAAATTCGAAATCAGCCCGAAAAACTACCCTAGAAACATATAAAACTCGAAAAAGTGAACCGAGGTCATCAAAGGTCAATGACCTGACCTGACCTTCAGGTGACCTTCACACCCACCGTGATGCATGGGACGAACATCATTTCACATGTTTGGACGTCTACAATCACAAAACTGGAAACGCGCAGATAATGTGAGCTAACATACACCAAATCGCGATTCCGGCCGAATATATTCTTGAGAATCAGGTCACAGGTCAAAGGTCTTTTGGGTCAGGGTCATGAAATTTTCAGAGTAGGTGTAAAACTGATCAAATCGAGGGTACTTAAAGTTTCGTCGCGATCGCCCGTTTTTTGCGCGAGTTATTTGCGAAAAACCATGGGGGGCTCATATCCGACCCCCTACACATGCGAGGGAATTAATGCTTCCAAATGCACTTATCGGTTGGTACCTTTTCGACATGGTATACACCCCCCTCAAAGCTCGTAACGAGCCTTCGCTCGGGTGTCGCTCCCTACCCCCCCCCCCGCTTCACCGGCCATGGCCGATCCCGTAGCTCAGTTGGTTAGAGCGTTGGACTCCGCGTGGTGAGAGCACGCGTTCCCGGTTATGACAGTCCGGGTTCGAAGCGCGACGGGCGCTCGAAATTTATGGGCCTCCTGACAGGTATGGTTGCGGTTGGTGGCAGGCCGTAGCCAGGCGAAGTCAGCGAGGGGACCGGCCGTGCGCGGCTTTGTGCGCACGTTAAACTTTGGACTATAAATTCTGCCATAGAATCGGAATTGCGCGATCGGAGGGTAGAGGGCAGGGTCATCGCAACAAGCTTTGCTTAGCGGTGGCTCTGTCCTTGTGAATCCTTCCCATCAAAAGGTTCGGACTAAATTTATAAAAAAAAATGGCTGGATTTCTGCACCCATGCACCCACAATGTTCCAGCCGTTCCTACGCCCATAATGAGAGTGACATAAACACGGTGGTCTGCAGGCTGTCAGTTTCCCAGAGAGAGGCGTCGCCCGCGTGAGAGGTGCCGCGCAGTGCTGGATTCACCGCAGTGTGGCGCGGAGCGGAGTGAGGCATCAGGCATCAAACATCCATACCACGAAGTGAGCAGTGGCAGACGAATGTGATCTGGGTGATTTGAAAAGCCAGCAGCTCCTGTCTAGCCGACGGAAAACTAAACCACGTTTGGGTATAACAAACAGTACTGCAGAATTATGTCCGAGCCAGCAACAGCACCGGAAGAAATTACCATTCCAGAGGATTGGGAGCCAATGCCGATCGATCCCAACTATACAGCTCCCGGTTTCCGCTTGTTAAAGTACTGTGGAGTGACACTAAATAATGTTCACCTCCAATGGGGTATCACGAAATCGTTGGAGCAGTTTCAAGGCAGGCGTTCCGATGTCATCGTGGCCAGCTTTCCCAAGTCGGGCACCACTTGGCTGCAGGAAGTCGTGTGGCGTGTCACCCATCACCAGCCAACGGCTGGCGAGAAAGGACCAAAGACCTGCTTGGAGTACCGATTCCCTGTGCTAGAGTCACAGCCCCAGGAGAAACTCATGGATATGGTGTCTTTGAGCGACATGACGGACCAGAGATTCATAAAGACACACCTGCACTATCATATATTACCAGAAAGCGTCAAGACGAGCGGTGCCAAGGTGCTGTACGTACATCGTGATGCAAGGGATGTCTGCGTTTCCTTTTACCATTTCTCGAGGATGTTGAATATCTATAAGTACCGCGGCTCATTCGCAGATTTCCGCGACAACTTCATGCGCGGCGAAATAGTGCACGGTCCTTACCGGGAGCACGTGCAGGGCTACCTGGAGCACTCCGACACTGTACTCTGTCTCACGTACGAGCAGATGCACCAGGATCGCGGCTCGGTCGTCCGTAAGGTGGCAGACTTCCTGGGAGTCTCCCTGAGCGACGCCGACGTCGACGATATCGTGAAGAACACCAGCTTCGAAGTGATGAAGGCGAACCCGGACACCAACTTCCGGCAGTGGGAAGACAGTGGACTGGTGTCCGGCACCGAAGAAGGCACCTTCATGAGGAAGGGGGTGGTTGGCGACTGGAGAAACTACTTCACTGAAGAGGAGAGCGAAGCCTTCTTGAAGTGGCGGAACGAAGAGGTCGTTCCTCTGAATTAGCGCCTCCACGGGCCAGTGAAGAAAAGTGCGCAGAAACCATTTATCGGAAATATGTTCTAGCGTTACTAGAATAGGTTATTAGAGAGGGGATGAAGAAATTTTACTACTTTTATCCATGTAATTTGTTGTTCTGGCTTAAATATAAGCGAGATACTCTCTCAAGCCGTATATTGTATTGTGCTAAAAATGTTTGCGCTGGTATAATGTGAACAAGAATGTGTTACTTTTAATCGTTGGCGACTTTTAAAGGGTTTTTGAAGAAATATGCATGCAGAGATAACCCCATCGCAACCTGCAGCTTGCAAGTCATAATAAACATTTCCAATAAACTGTAGCATCAAATAAATATATATTTGCTCTTAATAGCTTCACGAGATGACATTGCTGTGAAATGAAACAAGATGCAGGACAATGTGAACAATGATCGATGCCTTGACGTCGGACTTGCACGTGTCTAACGCTGAATCTCGCGCTTCTACAACTTCTAGCGATTCGAAGGTTCCTTCAAAGGTTACTCCAATATCTCCAATGTCTCCGCAATGGATGAACACAATGCACATTGCACATGTACCTACACTCAATGATTTTTTACACTCAACAAACAACATAGGAACATGACACCTCGACCACCCTCCCAGCAGCCATTTTCTTTGCAACGGGCTTCTTTGCTGTGATCTTCTTCGCCGCCATCTTCTTCACCTTGGTCGGCGACTTGGTCACTTTCTTCACCGGCGTCGCCTTCTCGGCGGCCGCAGCCTTAGACGGCGTCAGAGCCTTGACTGGCTTGGCCGAGATAGCCTTTGCCGGCGACTTGGCCGCAGCCTTCTTCAGGATGGGCTTGGCCTTGTCCTTGGTGGCGAGCCGGTAGCGGCCGGAGAGGACGAGCGCCTCGGTCTGACCCTTGGGACGAGCCAGCTGGCCGCCCGACAGGCCCGCCTCGAACGCCTTCCGCAGCATGCGGTTCAGCATCGCCGAGGGCACGCTGTGGTTGGCCATGATGTGCTTCTTGATGGCCCTCACCGAGGTGCCCTTGACGTCCTTGTCCGCTTCGATGGCATTGACGATCAGCTGCATGGTCGGCGGACGGTCGGGCTTGACCCTCTTGGCAGCTCCCTCCTTGGACTTGGGAGCCTGCTTGGCCGGCTTGGCATCAGTCGCCCGGGCAGCAGGAGCATCAGCAGAGGAGGCAGGAGTCTCAGCAGGGGCGGCAGGAGCAGCGTCAGTCTGGGCCTTCCTGGCAGCTCCACCCTGAGCCCTCGGTGCTATCTTGGCCTTTGCAGCTACAGCAGGTGCGGTGGCAGTCTCGGCAGAGTTCTCAGCCGGGGGAGCAGGAGCGGCAGCGGGGGCAGCAGAGACATCAGCAGGGGCGACAGGGGCCTCAGCAGGGGCGGCTACGTCCTCAACCGGAGAAGCAGGGGTCTCAGCGGGAGCGGCAGGAGTTTCAACCGGGGCAGAGGCAGCAGGAGCAGCGTTAATCTTAGTCTTCCTGGCAGCTCCACTCTGAGCTCTCGGCGCCCTCTTGGCCTTCGCATCTGCACCAGGGGCGACGGCAGGGCCCTCAGAAGGAGCGTCAGCTACCTCGGCCGGCACGGCAGGAGTCTCAGCCGGAGCAGCTTCAGCGGCAGTGGCGGTGGAAGCCGGAGCTGCGGCAGCCGCAGCGTCGGTCTTGACCTTCTTGGCCGCTCCGCCCTGGTTCTTGACTGCCCTCTTGCCAGGTCTGGCTGTAGGAGCAGGGGCAGTAGGAGCCTCTGCCGAGACGGTAGGAGGCTCGGCCGGGGCGGCAGCAGCCGCAGCAGGGGTGGCGGTGGCAGCGTCGGCCATGGCCACAAGCTGCACTCAACGGAGCCGACGAGAACACGACGGGCTTCGACTGACGAGTGTCGGCGGCGGCGGGCGCCGCGCGTTTTATACGGGCCAGTACGGACGGCCAGTGGCGTGCTGCGGTGCCGCCGCTAGCCGAGACGGGCCGACTGGCCGGCCGACAGCAACTGTGGACTGACCTTGAGAGCGACAAAAACACGGTGGTCTGGGCTGTCTGTCAGTTTCTCAGAGAGATGCGTCGCCCGCGTGAGAGGCACCACGCAGTGCTGGATTCACCGCAGTGTGGCGCGGAGCGGAGCGAGGCATCAGGCATCAAACATCCATACCACGAAGTGAGCAGTGGCAGACGAATGTGATTTGGGTGACTTGAAAAGCCTGTCTCGCCAACGCAAAGCTGGACCACGTTTGGGTATAATAAACAGTACCGAAGAATTATGTCCGAGCCAGCAACAGCACCGGAAGAAATTACCATTCCAGAGGATTGGGAGCCAATGCCGATCGATCCCAACTATACAGCTCCCGGTTACCGCATGTTCAAGTTCCGTGGAGCGACACTGAATAACATTCACCTCCAATGGGGTATCACGAAATCGTTGGAGCAGTTTCAAGGCAGGCGTTCCGATGTCATCGTGGCCAGCTTTCCCAAGTCGGGCACCCATCACCAGTCAACGGCTGGCGAGAAAGGACCAAAGACCTGCTTGGAGTACCGTTTCCCTGTGCTAGATTCACAGCCCCCGGAGAAACTCATGGATATGGTGTCTTTGAGCGACATGACGGACCAGAGATTCATAAAGACACATCTGCACTATCATATGCTACCAGAAAGCGTCAAGACGAGCGGTGCCAAGGTGCTGTACGTACATCGTGATGCAAGGGATGTCTGCGTTTCCTTTTACCATTTCTCGAGAATGTTGAATATCTATAAGTACCGCGGCTCAATCGCAGATTTCCGCGACAACTTCATGCGCGGCAAAATACTGCACAGTCCTTACCGGGAGCACGTGCAGGGCTACCTGGAGCACTCTGACACTGTACTCTGTCTCACGTACGAGCAGATGCACCAGGATCGCGGCTCGGTCGTCCGTAAGGTGGCAGACTTCCTGGGAGTCTCTCTGAGCGACGCCGATGTTGACGATATCGCGAAGAACACCAGCTTCGAGGTGATGAAGGCGAACCCGGACACCAACTTCCGGCAGTGGGAAGACAATGGACTGGTGTCCGGCACCGAAGAAGGCACCTTCATGAGGAAGGGGGTGGTTGGCGACTGGAGAAACTACTTCACTGAAGAGGAGAGTGAAGCCTTCTTGAAGTGGCGGAACGAAGAGGTCGCTCCTCTGAATTAGCGCCTCCACAGGCCAGTGAAGAAAATTGTGCGCATAAAGCATTTATCGGAAAAATGCTCTGGCTTTACGAGAATAGGTTATCTCTAGATTAGTGAGGCGATGAAGCGATTTTTCTACTTTTATCCATGTAATTTGTTGTTCTGGCTTAAATATAAGCGAGATACTCTCTCAAGCCGTATATTGTATTGTGCTAAAAATGTTTGCACTGGTATAATGTGAACAAGAATGTTTTACTTTTAATCGTTGGCGACTTTTAAAAGCGTTTTTGAAGAAATATGCATGCTCAGATAACCCCATCGCAAACTGCAGTTTGCAAGTCATAATAAACATTTCCAACAAACTGTAGCTTCAAATAAATATGTATTCAGTATTCACTCTTAATAACTTCACGAGATAATACATATTGCTGTGAAATGAAACAAGATGCAGAACATTGTGAACAATGATCGATGCCTTGACGTCGGACTTCGACGTGTCTCACACTGAATCTCGCGCTTCTACAACTTCTAGCGATCCGTAGGTTCCTTCAAAGGTTACTCCAATATCTCCAATATCTACGCAATGGATGAACACAATGCATATGAACACTCAATAATTTTGTACACTCATAAAGCAGCACAGGAACATTACACCTTGACGACCCTCCCAGCAGCCATTTTCTTTGCAACGGGCTTCTTTGCTGTGATCTTCTTCGCCGCCATCTTCTTCACCTTGGTCGGCGACTTGGCCACCTTCTTCACCGGCGTCGCCTTCTCGTCGGCTGCAGCTTTCGACGGCGTCTGAGCCTTCGCTAGCTTGGCGGAGGCAGTTTTTGCCGGCGACTTGGTCACAGCCTTCTTCTGGGTTGGCTTGGTCTTATCCTTGGTGGCGAGCCGGTAGCGGCCGGAGAGAACGCGCGCCTCGGTCTGACCCTTGGGACGAGCTAGCTGACCGCCCGACAGGCCCGCCTCGAACGCCTTCCGCAGCATGCGGTTCAGCATCGCCGAGGGCACGCTGTGGTTGGCCATGATGTGCTTCTTGATGGCCCTCACCGAGGTGCCCTTGGCGTCCTTGTCCGCCTCGATGGCATTGACGATCAGCTGCATGGTCGGCGGACGTTCGGGCTTGACCCTCTTGGCAGCTTCCTCCTTGGACTTGGAAGCCGGCTTGGCCGGCCTGGCATTAGCCGCCGGGACCGCAGGAACCTCAGCAGGGGCGGCAGGAGCAGCGTCAGTCTTGGCCTTCCTGGCAGCTCCACCCTGAGCCCTCGGCGCTCTCTTGGCCTTCGCAGCTACAGCAGCTGCGGTGGCAGTCTCAGCAGAGTTCTCAGCCGGGGGAGCAGGAGCGGCAGTGCAGCGGGGGCAGCAGAGACATCAGCAGGGGCGGCTACGTCCTCAACCGGAGCAGCAGGGGTCTCAGCGGGAACAGCAGGAGTCTCAGCCGGGGCAGAGGCTGCAGGTGCAGCGTCAGCCTTGGCCTTCCTGGCGACTGCACCCTGAGCTCTCGGCGCCCTCTTCGCCTTCGCAGCTACAGCAGGGGCGGCGGCGGGGCTCTCAGCAGGAGCGTCAGATACTTCAGCCGGCACGGCAGGAGTCTCAGCCGGAGCAGCTTCAGCGGCAGGGGCGGTGGAAGCCGGAGCTGCGGCAGCCGCAGCGTCGGTCTTGGCCTTCTTGGCGGCTCCGCCCTGGTTCTTGGCTGCCCTCTTGCCAGGTCTGGCTGTAGGAGCAGGGGCAGCAGGAGCGGAGGCGTTCCCCTCACCGTTCCGTGCTTCTATCCTCAGGAAACTGAAATCCTTTTCCTCCACGCCGCTACCCCCTCCGGGCTGGACAGGCAACTTTATCTCATGCGGGCTGCTCCCTTGGAGCGGCACCGCTGCTCCCGAGGGAGCGCACCCCGTAGCCGGGTGCAGTCAGTGCCTTGGGGCTGGGTGGCCTGTCCTATGGACGGGCTCAGCCCCGGCGACTCACTAGGGTGCCTGCCCAGACCAATGTCTCCCCCTACATCCTATCATCCTCCCGGCTCTGAAATGGTCTAATTGGACCGAAAAGGCCTAACCCAACAAAACAAAGCGCCGACGACATTCGCCGTTCGAAGGCCGTCGTGTTCTCACCAGATCCGTGCAGTGCAACTCTTGGCCATGGCCGACGCTGCTGCTGACACCCCTCCTGCGGCTGCTGCCGCCCCGGCCGAGCCTCCTACCATCCCGGCAGAGGCTCCTGCTGCCCCTGCTCCTACAGCCAGACCAGGCAAGAGGGCAGTCAAGAATCAGGGCGGAGCCGCCAAGAAGGCCAAGACCAACGCTGCGGCTGCCGCAGCTCCGGCTTCCGCCGCCCCTGCCGCTGAAGCTGCTCCGGCTGGGACTCCTGCCGTGCCGGCTGAGGTATCTGACGCTCCTGCTGAAGGCCCCGCCACCGCCCCTGCTGTAGCTGCGAAGGCCAAGAGGGCGCCGAGAGCTCAGGGTGCAGCTGCCAGGAAGGCCAAGACCGACACTGCCCCTGCAGCCTCTGCCCCGGCTGAGACTCCTGCTGTTCCCGCTGAGACCCCTGCCGCTCCGGTTGAGGACGTAGCCGCCCCTGCTGATGTCTCTGCTGCCCCCGCTGCCGCTCCTGCTCCCCCGGCTGAGAACTCTGCTGAGACTGCCACCGCACCTGCTGTAGCTGCGAAGACCAAAAGGGCGCCGAGGGCTCTGGGTGGAGCTGCCAGGAAGGCCCAGACTGACGCTGCTCCTGCCGCCCCTGCTGAGACTTCTGCTGCCCCTGCTGATGTTCCTGCTGCCCCGGCGACTGATGCCAAGCCGGCTAAGCGGACTCCCAAGTCCAAGGAGGGAGCTGCCAAGAGGGTCAAGCCCGACCGTCCGCCTACCACGCAGCTGATCGGCAATGCCATCGAGGCGGACAAGAACGTCAAGGGCACCTCGGTGAGGGCCATCAAGAAGCACATCATGGCCAACCACAGCGTGCCCTCGGCGATGCTGAACCGCATGCTGCGGAAGGCGTTCGAGGCGGGCCTGTCGGGCGGTCAGCTAGCTCGTCCCAAGGGTCAGACCGAGGCGCGCGTTCTCTCCGGCCGCTACCGGCTCGCCACCAAGGATAAGACCAAGCCAACCCAGAAGAAGGCTGTGACCAAGTCGCCGGCAAAGACTGTCTCCAACAAGCCAGCCAAGGCTCAGACGCCGTCGAAGGCTGCGGCCGCCGAGAAGGCGACGCCGGTGAAGAAGGTGACCAAGTCGCGCACCAAGGTGAAGAAGATCACAGCAAAGAAGCCCGTTGCGAAGAAAGTGGCTGCTGGGAGGGTCGTTAAAGCGTAATGTTCCCATGTTTTATGAGTGTACAAAATCATTGAGTGTGCATCGCTTGTCGTATTTGCTATTGTCGTTCTCTTGATGTTCTGTGACGTGTGGTGCCATGGATGAGAAGTTAACATCCTGTCGCATCGGAAATGTTCTTGGTCATCCTCATTTTGTAGCCTTGATAGGCACCAGTCAGCGCATTGATCGTACTTGAATGGAAATGAATATATATTTATATATATACATGGCAAACGTTTTGATACGTGACGGGAGACGTTTCCTGGATTAAAAGGTTTGTATAAAGAGTGCGGTTAGCGAAATGCCAATGAACGCTGGGCAATGGATGGAAACACTTAAGGAATAGGGACACAGGAAAAAGGCTGCTCTTTTTCTTGACGCCGATGATACGAAATTTGGTGTTCTTTGATGCTTGTTTGAGACCACCACTGCACGTGCGACGTGCAAACGGTGAAGAGGTGTCAATTTTGTTTCAATTACTCTGCCTCCCTGGTGTGTCCAAGGCAACCACCAGGGGACTTTGGCTGGCAATTTGCCAGCTCTTCCGTTTTACCTCAATGTCAGTTTTTGAATTCTGACCGATGTGAAAAAAAAGAAAGAAGAAAAACTATTATTTCGCCTCACGTGGCCTACGATTATGAAGGACAAAGGACAAAAGTGTCCAAAAGACGGGGGGAGGCCATAGACGAACCTTTTTAATTGATGTTGACCTCGTATCGTGATGCCGAGAAGGCGCTGAGCATATCGGTAGGCATTGACGGACACCGGGAAACGCATTTCTACGCATCTTTTTAGGAGGTGCTACTGCACGAGTGCAGGGGTCACATCCACATCTCGAGAACGGCTGGACTGATTGCGCTTAAATTCGGTACGCCACAAGAACCGGCTACTTTGACGGACAAAAGTCAGTTGGGTCTACATAATAGCCGTTTTCACGACGGGCTATCCGGCGAATGCACCTGATTTGACCAAATCTGCACCTAATTTCTTTTACAGCAAATATCTTCATTTTATGAATTCATTTCAGTGTTTTAATCGATGATGCTCTCTGATAATATGACAAAGCAGGCATACAAGCAATTAGTGCAACCCTAGCTGATGGCTGCTAAGAGACACACTCACTGGCGGTCGCAGCCGCTAGCAAAAGGGGGGGGGGGCAAAGTCACACTCGCAGGACATAACATTTATCCGTCACCGGGAGGGGGGGGGGGGGGGTGATCGGCTAATTTTTTACGTCCACGAAGTGCCATGCAGTTGGCATTACTTATGCTTCATCCATCTGATTCTTGCGTGAAATCTTTAAGCTCAATTTAAGGCAAAATCACCAGTTCCATTTCCCGTCCCACGGTGCTTCCACCGGTCGGCCCACTGCACAATGACGACGGATCGGTGTAGCATAGGTATACTGGAAGGTCAGGCACGCGGATTCATGACCTTACCACTATAAAACAATTCGGAAAAGTACAGATACCTCTTGCTTTGAACAAGCATGTGAAACCCAGAGAGCATTTTCAGACTATGACATTTACCCATATAGGTAACATACCTAGTTATGTGGCGGCGGGAGAGAGTAGGTACACCGACCTCTGGAGACCCCCCACAGGTTCCGAGCTTTCAAAATTGGCATCTGAGGGCCGCGCGCGACTCCTGCGGGGCTTCGCAACGGCTCTATTGGGGCTCACTCAACCTGCCTAGTCTTACTGCTAAAAAGACTGGCCCTGAGCCCTAAGGACTTCATCAGTCTCTGCCAGCCCCAGGACCCACACCGGCTCATGGGGTCCCGACGTCGAAATATGAGGGAATCTGCGCGGGACCATCAGGACGTAAAGTAATCTCGATCAGGACCAACGTAATGCTGTGCCGGAGAGTGCGTGAGCCCTCTGATCTTCAGAAACCCACCCATGTATGTTTTCACGTAGAGGCCAGTTTAGGGCCCTCAGAGACCAGTACAGGGCCTGCAAACTACAAAGGCCAGTAGTTTGAGACAATCAGTGACCGAGTTGGGCTCTCAGAGGCTAATGTGGGTCATTACAGGCCAACATGGGCCCTCAGAGGTCAGCGTGGGGCCCTAAAAGACCGGCATGGGCCGTCGTTGGACCCCAGAGGCCAGCAAAGGGCCCTCAAAGGCCAAGATGGGCCCTCCTCAGAGGCCAATGCAGGCCCTTAGAGGCCGGCACCGGGTCTTCAGCAGCCAGTGCGGGGCCCTCATTGGCACCTAAAGGTTCGTCTTGGGACACCACAGACAGAAATAAGGCCACCAGAGACCGGTGTGAGACCCTCAGACGCCGGTTGGGACCCCTGAGGCCGGTTAGGGGCCCTCATAGGCCAGATGTGGGGTCTCAGAGGTTGATGTGGGGTCTCAGAGGTTGATGTAGGCTCTTAGCGGTCAACGTGGGCGCTTGACCGCCACTGAAGTTCCCTCAGAGGTCAGTGTAGGACGCTCAAAGACCGGTGTGGGAGCTATATTAATAGCTGGACGTGGGTTTTTTGAGCCTCGTGACGATCGAATAATTGCCAGGGCCTCATACACCTATATGGGGGCGCATTGGTTGTTTGAGGGGGGGCAAATGATATGATGGCCCCCTTTATTGACCTTGGGGGGCATGGCCCTGATGCCCCCCCCCCCGCGACCGCCACTGTGTACACATTACACACATGCCTCTGAGATTACATACTAGCTCATGCAAACTCTATGCAGGCCCCGGAGTTCCCATGCTAATCCTTAAGAAACCAAGCCGGCATACGGCGTCACCACCGGGCTTCTGAGGTGCACAGCACCAACCCATGAGGTCTTACTTTAGTGTCTTAGAGCCAATCTCCTTTAGCAGGGCCCACCCACCACTGCCGAAGAGGGTCTCATGCCAGCCATTGCTGGGCCTACGAGAGCCTCAAATAAACCCACGCTGATATTCCATATAAGGTCCGGCCATATTCGTGAACCGGTGCCAGCGACGCTGACCGCCAAATTGACAGAATGCGAAACTGAGCCCACTCATGAGTGAAATTTACGTCCTTTGATGGCGCAAGAAAGAAAATGAAACATACGAAAAGCTTTTCTAGGACTTTTGCTCGATCTGAAAGGTGGGGCCAAAAGATAGTATGGCCCCACCTTTCAGAACCAAAGGGGGGGCCATGGCCCCCGTGCCCCCCCCCCCCTGGGACCGCCAGTGGACACACTGAACCTGATTTGACCAAATCTGCACCTAATCTGTACCAGATGTGCACCAAATGTGTACCAGATGGATGGCCGTCGTGAAAACGGCTAATGTGCACATGAGCGCGTGTACATAGGGTATGTATATAGGGTATGTGTATAGGGTGCCGCTTCTCAATTGCAAGAACGGCTGGACCTATAATTGCGCTCAAACTTCGCACTCCGCAGACAAAGTGATATGTAATTTTATGAATTCATTATTTATGACATTTATTCATCTGTAATGTCTATGAAGGCCGTGAAGGATGCCTTTACTTCTTTCTTGTCGTGCACCATACCTTGATTTTATATATACATATATATATATATATATATATATATATATATATATATATATATATATATATATATATATATATATATATATATATGTTACAGGGAGTATGCGATTTCAGTTAGTTTGCAACGACCCTAGGGTGGTTGTAACCTCCCTGAACGATCAGTTTGTTTGCAACGACCCTAGGGACGTTACAAAATAACTGCTCGTTCCGGGACGTTGTAACGAAACTAGGGTCGTTGCAACCTCCCTAGTTAGTATGCAACGAACCTAGGGTTGTTACAAAATAACTAGGCAGTTTAAGAATTCATCGAGTCTCATTTCACATGAGGGCCGTCAGCAATCTTGTCCATTGAAAATCTTGTTCAATCTAGTTCATTTAAAAAGAAAAGAAGAACAAAATTTGAACATTCAGCTCAGGAGTATTTCACAACGGCCATCTAGTACACATTTTGTGCAGATTAGGTGCACATTTGGTGCAGATTTGTTCAAATTAGATGGGCATTTGCCAGGAAGCCCTTCGTAAAAACGGTTATTATCCGCTCGTTTCCAGTCTTTTTCTGATTGTTAACGTTCAAACATGTGAAATGATGATGGTCCCATGCATTATAGTGGGTGTCAAGGTCACGTGAAGGTCAGGTCAAGGTCATTGACCTTTGATGACTTAGTTCACTTCTTCTGGGTTCATATATTCTTTAGGCTAGTTTTTGGAGCTGATTTCGAATTTAGTACCCATTTGAACATTTAAGAAGTAATTTTGGCGCCTTCGTACCATGTCACGAGGCTGTCAGTGGTGGTTGACACCTACTATGGACAGCTAGCAAGACGCCTACTGGTTGACCTGACCTGACCTGACCCGACCTGACCCAAAAACATCAAGACATCATCGGTGATCAAAGCTAACATGAAATTCGTGATCAGCGCACCGAAAAACCTCGTAACAAGCTAACTCTCCAAAGTTTTAACAGGTCCCGATTTTCCCGACTTCTGAGTCACTGACCTGACCTGGAAAGTCAACCAATAACCTAGCCCCGCCATGTGCGTTTGCAGCTAGCAAAACACCAATAAGGGCGAGAGTTAACCCTCGCCCGCACATGCCATTTTCCCATCCTAGAACGCACATGGGGGGGGGGGGTTGCCACCACCCCCCCGCGCCATTTCGTTCCTGTTCCTGTTGGAGATAGAGCTTCGCGGTAAAGACCAAAAAGATTCTTTGGGAAGAAACGAATCCAATGCTACCCAGTTTTACCTTCTCAGGTCAGTCATTGACCTTCCAGGTCAGGTCAAACTAAAAAATGTTGCTGTTTTGGGTCACCGTTGGATATCAAGTGCGCTGCTTATCATATAGCGATGACGATGCCGTTTTCTGGTGCCCAGCTAGCTAGAACCTCTTTGTCACACTACCCGACCAGATTTTTGCTGCTGAGGTCATTTCAGGTCAAGTTAGGTCGAGGTCAATGATATGTGTTTGTATGTCTGTGTGTGTCTGTGTGTATAATGATGTGTGCA